GCCCCCTATTGGGGATTCCCCAACAACGATGTGCCCTGCCTCCAATGCCCGTCCAGGTTATTAGCCTCTTCCTGCAAGAGGCCGGCACTCTTGTAGGTTGTGCTTTATTGAAGACACTGCACACTCACCTGCGTGGAATACTTGCCATAGGTGAGGCGTGTGAGTCCGCACTTGCAGGAACTGTGACACTTCCTTCCCTAAAAACTGCACGGGAACGGGGCTGCAGTGAAGTGATGCCGGCTCCCGTCTCCATACTCCGCCACGCGGCCGCACGGACAGCTAGGCGCCTGGGCATAAGCAAGTGTGCTTCCTGCCTGCGCCCTCTCACTTCTGATCGTTCTTCGCTGAGTATGTGTTTGCTGCGGGACCTTGGTATCAACACAAGTAATGTACCTTGAAGACACCACGGGCGAGCACTGAAACGGCACTCGGGTGCCACTACCCTGCAGCTCCATTCCCGTGCAGTTTTAAGCAGAGAAGAAGGCACGCTACCGTAGTTGCAGGCCCATTCAGCTCGCACATGGAAAGGACGTCCTCGGAGGTGAGTGTATTCATTGAGGGAAAGGGAGTGAAATCCCTGGACCTTCAGAATAAACGTCAAAGAAGGGGACTGCATCTGTGAAGCAACATATTTGCCCTATTTGCACCGAAAATCCTGGGTGTGAGCTCGTATCCTCTGGGCTCATAGCTTCCCTATAAGCGCAAGTTCCACGATTTGAAGGTAGAAGTATAATTCCAGCAATCATATTGAATCATAGAGCTTTGAGAAACTGCACCTATGATTTGAAACCGCTTTATTTTAAACTAAAGGATAGCTATCTCTTTCCATTTGGCTGACCAAAGCGCATCCTAAAGTGAATAAGTAGTCCTACAAAGTAATAAGTGCAACAAAAATAACGAGCGTCAGTAACCTGGACAATGAAAGATTCCACATTCATTTCCCATGCTAATGATGCGATCCGTAGAGAAGCATTTGTAGGTCATGTTTTCAAATACAGAAGTGCACTAGCACGCCCACTAGCAGAGCTTTTCGGCAAATGTACCACTTCAATGTCGATTTAGGTCTCCGTGCGAGCTTAGGTCTTGGTGCAAATGCCGCGCCCGTGGCTCTGCTCACAACGCCGCCTTTGCTGCGTGGTCGCAACATGGATGTAACATCCCCTGCTCAGGCCACTTCCAGGCGTTGGGAGCACTTCCCGAGATAAATCCCCGCTCTCTGAGCGTTGGAGATCTCATTTCCACATACACCTGCTGTCCGCTATACATCCGCTCTATTACGTTGCCATCCATGGGTAAGAACTTCTCACAGAAGCATTCTTTCTTCGTTCTCTACTTGAACAGACTTTATTCCTGAGCGAATAGTACGTACTTTTTAGGAAGTGATCATAAGACTAGAAGAAAGTGCAAAATCTGTTTCTTGTTGCCGACCAGGCTTGTCATTGGTGAAACCGCTTCACTGACCTCAACATTCTAGACAGCTCGCAGTCTCAGCCTGAAACCACCAGAAGGATCGCAAGGATCTCCTTATTCGTAACTTACTAGAAACGTTGACCAGCTAAGCGATTTCTCAGTAAGAAACCTGGTTGGCATAGAAACTTAAAAACGATACTTCACAAGTGCCCAGGTTTCAAGAAGATCAAAGCCGGAATCTGTTTGCTAAGTTGACTGCGTCCGAAACTTGACTTGAGAACGGGCCAGGACCCAGGATAAAAACCTGTGCGGGCACCAGAAAATGAGATTTCCAGGTTTCCGACTTCTAGCCCAACTGCTATTTTCAAAATGGTTCATCAAAAGAATAAGAGACCTGTCCTTTGACCAGCGAATGTTTCAAAATATTCCTTCCTGGTTGCTCTCAAGCGGGTAAGGGAGCAGGGACCAGGAGACCTATTCAACAGACAGGCCCCCGATATAAGGCGATCTTGACCCTGCATATGATCAAAAAGCCTCGAGCCCTTCTAAAGAGGGACCCCTCACTAAAGCAACTTTTTGTGTTCACACAAAGTACATCTCGTTCGTTCATTCTCAGGAGTATAGAGGCCTGAGTCTTTATCCTCCCAGCGAGTCTGGTATCAAACTGGTCCCCGATGTGGAAAGCTTGGCTGGCTGGAACGGGAGATGTCCAGTATCCTAACATCTGGTCGCGCGCCTGGTAACGGGCCAGTTGTCACCACATCACCTCCGCCCCCTCCAATTGAACGGAGTGCTTCCAGCCCACATGTAGGTGGAAAGGGAGCTGACGTGTTGTTGTTATTTTTGCTCTTTACTCCACTGAGCACGAATCCCTGTAGGAGTCCCAGCACCAGAAAGGCATTCAGCAATGCCTTGCAGGAATCGGAATTCGGTAAAATAGAGATCAGAGATATCTACAGCTAAATTTGAATGATTGATAATTTTGATGGGTAAAATTCAGACCGTTTGCTCCTACCCTACAACCCAAAAGTTTGCGCTGACTCTACTGGCACAGAGGCAGTGATAACGGTTTGATTACAGGAAGAAAAATATAAATAGTAACAGGATAGTAACAGCTCGCTTTGAGAGAGGCTCGCTAGAGAAATCGAAAAAAGCCAGAGGAGCGCCTAGAACCCGTTCTCAAATCAGCTAGCCAACCCTGCGGTGGTAATTTACTCTGATATCAGAATACGTATCTTTAATTCAGTATTTTTTACGAATTATCCCGAATTACCCAATACTGTACCCTGTAACAGGCCTCCTCCGGGGAAAAGGGTCCTTGCAGGCGTAGGTGGTGCCCAGTACTTGCAAATGGTGTAGCGCAGGCTGCGCGCAGGTTGAGCATCTCACCAGAGTTGACTCTTGTTGGACCTGAATATATTTCTCACAATATTCCGTGGTGATCTGTTGGTACCAGAATCCTTCGGGACCATAAAAATCCTGACTTGTTCAGCTGGCCTCGGAGGTCATTGAAAGAGGCCAAAACACATTCAAGAGCTAGAATTTCTCCACATGGAATATGGATGCGTGGCGCATCTCAAGAAGGGTTTAATCGAGTTCAGTCGTGTGGTTTTCAATCAACTCTGAAACGAATTCCAGTTCCAAGTACATTGGTGGACATACGGATGTGATTGGCGGATGTGTAACGACCCGTTCACTTGACCACTGGAAACGTCTCAAACTTCAGCAACTTACCACTGGAAGTGCCTTGGTAGGTGCTGCTCCTTCTAAAGCCCCAGTGGTGCACTACTCCTATAAACCTGTTTCTTTCAGTCGCCATTTGATGCTGCACTACTGGCCCGTGGACTGAAGACCTTGCCATTGCGAGTTGATAAGATCTGCTCAAACGCTCAACGCATAGCGCAATTCCTCGACAAGCATCCAAAGGTGACACTGAAATCTTTGGAATCATTTAAAATGGGTTTTTCTATCCCAAAATCAGAGAAAGTGCTTCACAGAGGTTAAGTAACCCTGAAAATGTTTTCCCTGTTGCAGAGAGATAGTCTTAAAGTCAAGTGGCACGATAAATTCCTAAGACAAGTAGGATTAATACACCTGGCAAGACTGGATTCCGCGCCCCTGACAGGCGCTGCTGGCCCCTTTTCCGGGAAGGCACCCTTATAACGCCCTATCAAGCTGCAACATACCGACCCGGACGCCCACCGCCCGCCCGCCCACAAATGGACGACCGTACCTGATGCTCGTATCGCTTCATTTGCGAAGTACAATATGAAGCGAAGGGATTGATATGAAGCGGCTGCGGTGCTGCATGGATATATGAGTACATACATGCAGCCGTATCTACCAGTAGCGGTTATTGGCACGGTGCCAACGGGAAACTCGTCCGAAAGTACCGCCTGAGTAATATGAAACAAAGGCTTTTCGCAGGTTTTTGACCGTTTCCTTTCGTTTTTTCACCATTTTTCCCACTTTATAGTACCCCGGCTACCATTTTATTCAGAGTACCAGATTATCGTACCTTATGCCTTCATGGGGTCGACCTTTTTTCTCGGACCTGGCGCTTTGATCAAATGGTCCTCCTACCTATAAGTAGTCGATTTGAGGTTTTTTCTCACGATTACACGACACAGTCTCGATATCGATCTTTCGCTGGCTTGTGAGTGTGGCGTATCGAGATAAAATCTTAGCACCATCGACTTGGCCACCACGCAAAACGGCAATTACCAAATGTAGGCAATAAATCCAGATGACCTAAGTGGGTAATGTGTCCATTCCAGGTACTTCATACTCATTACCCTGGTTTACCCAGTCATCCAATGCATGAGGCAGCCAAGAAGTATATGAAGAACTGGAGCGGCATGATTGCTTTTGACGTTGGCAGTGCAGCCGCCGCAATTACAGTGGTCGAGGTGGGTTCATCACCGTTTCAAGGGCTACCCTTGCTTATACATACCAGTGGTTTTAGTCAGTTCGACTAATCATCCATGCAGTATCGTTGGGTGGAACGGAATCGCTCATGGAGCACGCCCTATCGATGTCACACAGTAGCCAACTTCTTCGTGACGTCGCCGAACCAATGGTCCCTCCGGGACTGTTGCGACTCAGGTAACTAAGGGCTTCTGCCCCCCCCCCCTTTACGTGTCTGTGAGCGATCAAGGGCTGGCATGTGTACGTAGCACGCCGCTTAGCGCGTCCTACTGATAAACACACAAAGAGAATTATCACAAACAAAACAACGTGCCAGCGGGCCCGTGGCTTCTCAAACGCTGCTTGATAAAATCGATCAGGAAAAGCTGATTTTCTTCGTTTCAGTGTTGGAATCGAGAACGCCGACGACCTCATTGCCGACCTGGAAAGGGCTCTCAACCTCATCTGATCACAACAATCTCGCAATTGCAATAAAAATTCCGCCCAACTGTCGTAAATTGAGAGCCTTAAATGGCACTGGCGGTGTGAGTATAAAGGCAATTCATAGAGAGAAGATATTCCGCTGAGGAAGGTCCCTTGGTGCAATAAATCGGGCCGATTACGGTAATCCCAAACCTGCACAAATGTTGTCGGTTTCGCTTCTATGCCATTTGACAGCCTATGATTACCTTTTTCAAAGATTCGGTAAAACCTACTTAGTATTGGTGGGCAGGGCACGTCCCACGTAGGGAAATCCAGCGGGGGAGGGTCGTATTTGGATTGAGAAAAAATTTTTAATGTTAATTTTTCTTATTTGACGGGCACTAACCCCGTCGTTGGGAGAATTCCAATGGGGGAGGTAGGAGTGGTGGGGGGAGGGGTGAGGAGGAGGCTGGAGGAGAGAAGGGGGTCGTACTTTGCCTCCGAAGAAATATGGACTTTCCGCGGTTGCGATTTTACCCGCTCCACTGATGCTATATTCCCATCTCCCCCCACCCCTCCTGCCCGACGGGGCACAATTTTGGGATAAGATGGAAAATTTCCAGGTTTCGGTAGAAGTGGTAGGAAACTCGGAAAAGTTGGCAAGAGAAGCATTATAGTAGGTAGCATGAGGAGGATGTGGGTCGTATTCGTACAGAACTTGCCAGATATGAGGCAAGTCAGCAAAGGGGGAGGGGCATATAAAGGACTCCTCGCGCAAAACTGGAAAAGCCGGATGCGA